TGGAAAATGAAGATAGCAGTATTTTAAATTATGATGGTAAAAATTGAAAAATCAACTAAGATTTGAAAGTGTCTCTGGAGATTTGGACAACATAGGATAGTGAGAAGATAGTATGGATATATTATTTTTACTATAGGCATTTTAATAATATTTAACTTTTATGGTTATAATCATGCTATATGTCAGGCATCCCATTTTTATATAAGTTCAACAGTTTTATCTGAACTGATAGATTTTTCACTCATAATAACCAACCCCTTGTTATTCAATTTATGGCTGAAATGAACCCAAGTCCTTCTTTGTCATCCACAAGAATAGCAAGAAAGCACTGAATCCCAGCCCCACCTCAATCTCCAAACCATTAGGGTAATTTCTAAGCTTTCAGTAACCTCTCATTTTTCTTTTGCTGATATCTATATATTCTAATTTTTCATAAGTTTCAAAATTAATTTAATCTAAAACCCCACCATTCATGTGTGACTTAGCTGTACTATGCTGGCTTACATATCACTATGATACTGGACACTATGCCACCAGTATTTCAGATACCAACAGGATCACACATGGGGGACAGGTTTCAGTGGCACTTCCAGAGTAAGACAGAACAGGAAGAAAGACCTGGCAATATATTTCTAAAACAACCAGCCAATGAAAACCTTATCAATAGTGGTGGAACCCTATCTAATATAGTGCTGGAAGATGAGCTTTTCAGATCAGAAGGTATTCAAAATAGAACTGGTGAAGAGCAGTATGGTAGTTAAGGTTGTGTGTCAACTTGGCTGGGCCTGGTTGAGTGGCTGGGCAGCTAGTGGTAGTTATTCCCCATGATGAGACTAGCAATCAACTGCATGGTGGGATCTACCACAAGCAGCTGAGTAGCTGCCTTTGGGAATGTGGTCTGCTTCCCACCTATAAGCAGCAGTTTCAGGAATGGTCTCTAGTTTATGGCACGCCTGAACCCTGCATGTAGCCGTGTCACTGTTCAGCAGCTTGTCATGCTCTGCCGATTCTGGGACTTTCAACGGACTTGAATTCATGGCCTGCCATGTGGTTTGGTACTATTAGGACTGTGCCTTTTTCCTTGTCGACCTTGGGCTTGTCAGCCTGAGCATCCAGCAGCTGTCTGAGTGAAGAAAAGCTTCCAGCTTCAGTGGGCCGGGAGCAGGGAGCAGAGCAGAAGCCCAAAGTTGAGGGGCTTTCACCCAGCCCCTAGAGTGTGGCACTTTGAACTTAGACTCCAAGCCTCCAAACTGTGAGAGAATAAACTCCTGTTTGTTAAAGCCACCCCATTTGTGGTATATTCCTGTCAGAATGGCACTAAGGAACCACAACAAGCCGCTTCTTCAAAGTAGAGTTGACCTCAATAATAGGGATGGAGTAAAGCTTTTGGGTCTTTCATCTACTGATGTAGCAAGACTCACAATAAGGAAAAATAGCTGGAAACATCCATTAATAATCAAAATGTGGAATGTACAAAGTATGAATCTAGGAAAACTGAAAGTTGTCAAAATGAAAATGGAATGCCTAAGATCAGTACCATAGGTATTACTGAACTGAAATAGACTGGTATTGGCCAATTTGATTGAAGAACCATATGGTCTACTATACCAGAATGACAAGTAGAAGAGGAATGGCATTCATTGTCAAAAAGCACATTTCAAGACCTATCCAGAAGTACAACAATGCCAGTGATAGGATAATATCCATACGTCTACAAGGAAGACCAGTTAATGTAACTATTACTCAAATGTACGCACCAACCACTAACACCAAGATGAAAAACTTGACAACTTTTACCAACTTCTATAGCCTGAAATAGATCAAACATGCAATCAAGATGCATTGATAATGACTGGTGATTGGAATGAGAAAGCTGGAAACAAGGACATAGTTGGAAAATTTGGCCTTGGTGATAGAAATCATGCCAGAGACAGGATGATAAAATTTTGTAAAACCAACAACTTACTACAAATACAATTTTTCAACAACATAAATGGCAACTATACACACAGACCTCACTGGATGGAATACACAGGAGTGAAATCAACTAAACCTATGTAAAGAGATAGTGGGGAAGCTCAATATTATCAATCAGAACAAGGTCAAGGACTGAATGCTAAACAAACCATCAACTGCTCATATGCAAGTTCAAGTTGAAGCAGAAGAAAGTAAGTCCACAAGAGCCAAAGTACAGCCTTGAGTATATCCCACATGGGTTTAGAGACCATCTTAAGAAGAGATATGACACAATGAACACTAACAGCCAAAGACCAGAGGAGTTGGGGGATGACATTATACATGATGAAAGCAAAACATCATTAAAAAGACAGGTAATAAAGAAAAGAACAAAATGGATGTCAGAAGAGACTATGAAACTTCTTGATTGTAAAGTAGCTAAAGCGTAAAATGAAATGAAGTAGAAGAGCTGAAGGGAAAAGGGTGGATTAAGAAAATGAAGTAAATTATTATAATGAAATGTACAAAGACCTGGAGTTAGAAAGCCAAAAGGGAAGAACACACTCAGTATTTCTCAAGCAGAAACAACTGAAGAAAAAATTCAAAACTCGATTTGCAATATCGAACAATTCTATGAACAAAATATTGAATGACACAGGAAGCGTAAAAAAAATATGGAAGGAATATACAAAGTCACTGTATCAAAAAGAACTAATCAACCTTTAATGATTTCAGAAGACAGCATATGATCAAAAATCAATGGCATTAAAAGTAGAAGTCTAAGTTGCACTGAAGAGATTGGCAAAACAAGGCACCAGGAATTGACAGAATACCAATTATTTCAACAAACAGATACAACGCTGGAAGTGCTCACTCAGTTATACTAAGAAACCTGTAAAACGGCTGGCTCCCTGGCCAACTGACTGGAAGAGATCCATGTCTGTGCCCATTCCAAAGAAAGGTGATCCAACAAATGCAGGAATTACAAATAGTATCATTAATATCACGCATAAGTAAAATTTTACTGAAAATAATTAAAAAATGGTTGCAGCAGTACATCAATAGGGAACTTCCAGAAATGCAAGCTGAATTCAGAAAAGGATGTGGAACAAAGGATATCATTGCTTATGTCAGCTGGATCTTGGCTGAAAACAGAGAATACCAGAAAGATGTTTACTTGTGTTTTACTGACTATGCAAAGGCTTTCAATTGTGGGGATCATGACAAATTATGGATAATGATGCTAAGAATGGGAATTCCAAAACATTTAATTGTGCTCATGTGGAACTTGTCCATAGACAAAGAGGTAGCTGTTTAAACAGAACAAGGGTATACCATGTGATTTAGAACAGGGAGAGGTGTGTGTCAGGGTTGTATCCTTTCACCATACTTATTCAATCTGTATGCTGAGCAAATAATCTGCAAAAGTGGACTATATGAAGAAGAATGTACCATCAGGATTGAAAGAAGACTTATTAACAATCTGCAATAAGCAGATGACACAACTTTGTTTAATGACAGTGAAGAGAACTTGAAGCACTTACTGATGAAAAGCAAAGACTACAACCTTCAGTATGAATTACACTAAACATAATGAAAAAAAATTTCTCACAATTGGAACAAGAAGCAACATCATGATAAATGGAGAAAAGACTGAAGTTGTCAAGAAATTAATTTTACTTGGATCCATAATCAATGCCCATGGAAACAGCAGTCAAGAAATCAAACAACATATTGCATTGGGCAAATCTGCTGCAAATGACCTCTTGAAAGTTTTAAAAAGCAAAAATGTCACTTTGAAAACTAAGGTGTGATGGACACTGGGAAGAGGTAACTATGGGGAGGACGTTGGAGGGGAGCTGTTGCATTGTGGTAAACTGTGGTCAATGACATGAGACAAAGTATATATGAACTGCTGTATGGAAAGTGAATTTGCCCTGTAAATCTTCACCCAAATCACAATAAAAAGAAAACTAAGGTGTGCCTGATCTAAGCCAAGGTATTTTCAATCACCTCATATGCATGCAAAAGCTGGACAATTCATAAGGAAGACTGAAGAAGAACTGACAGCTTTAAGTTAGGATACTGGCACAGAATATTGAATATACCATGGGCTGCCAGAAGGAACAAATCTGTCTCGGGAGAAGTACAGCCAGAATGCTGCCTAGAGGTTAGGATGTTGAAGCTTCGTCTCACGTAGTGCCTAAGGCACTTGACTGCTAACCAGAAAGCTGGCGGTTCAAACCCACCTACCAGTCCTTGCAAGGAAGGTTGGGCAATCTACTTCCATAGTGATATTGCCTCGGAAATTCAAGGAGGGGTCGCTATGAGTCAAATCCGACTTGATGGCAGTGAGTTTGGTTTGGTTTGGTTTATCAGGAGGAACCAGTTCCTGGAGAAGGACATGATGCTAGGTAGACGGTCAGCAGAAAGGAGGAAGCCCCTCACTGTCATGGATTGATATGGTGGCTCAAGCACAGCAACAATTGTGAGGATGGCCGAGAATCAGGCAGTTTTTCGTTCTGTTACATAGGGTTGCTGTAAGTCAGAACCAAGTCAATGGCATCTAACAACGTAATAGCAAAAATGTAAACACATGATGCCCTTTCTAACCTCTACTTTCCCTTCCACTTTGTTGTGTTTACATGGATCAAAAGAACACACAGCCTCCTGTACAACTGAAGTTTCAAAGACAACTGTTTTACATCAAGTGACATAATCACACAATTCTTTCTCTACATACCCTCCCAATTATGAAAAACAATATACTGCAATTCTCTCTTCCAATTACAGCAAACAGAAATATAAAATTACCCACCAGTCCAACTGTGGTTGGTACAATGACATCAGAATGGGGGCGGGGGGAGACACAACACTACCACTACCACACTGTGTGACACTGAAATATTCAAAGGTTACCTAGTATCTACCTAGAACAAAGACACAGTGAAAGCTAACATTAAGCCAGAACAAAGTCATTTCATTTTGTTTCCTTCTTGGTTTATATCAAACAAAAAGCAGGCAAGGTGAATGGACACCTATACCTTGAAGGTGACAAGGAACATCATATTCAATCTCGTCGTGTCTCGACGGGCTGAGGAACAGAGTCCCATCCACCAGTGGGAACTGTTCGAACACTGGGAGCGCCCGGTGGCACAGAGCACAGTTCACGACATTTCTATGGCTGGCACTGAGGGCTGCGAGAATGAACTTCCGCAGATCCTCACCCTGGCCCACTTGGGCATCGTCTTCCATCCGCACATGGAAAGTGTTCAGCTTATGTCTGGGGATGTGTGTGAGCAGCTCAGAGAGGTCGAGCCGCCGTAGAAACTGCACAGGAGCATCAAAGTGCCCTGCTCTGTGGACAGATAACCCGGCTGGACTATAATCAAAGTGGGCACTTCTGAACACGTGGGCCCCAGTCATGGCCTTTTTGTGAGGCTCAAGATGTATGGCATTCTTTAGGAACTCCCCAAGGTATCTTGAGGATCGGGGGCCACTGAAGTGGGCAGGGGAGAGGATGGAGTAGCCTGTGGGTGGGGACTGGCCAGGGGAGCCGCAGGGGGAGCGGGCACCGTAGGCCGCGGCACTGCCTGCCTTTTCCTGGGAGTTCTGCCGGTCCATGGAATGCCGCCGGGGGAGATCATGGTTCAGGCCTCTCGGGGGCTTGTTCTGTGGCCTGCACTTTTTCGCCTCTTCCATGCCCTCACCCAGGGGCTTCCCTGTGTTCTTCTCCAACCCAGATTTCTTCTTTTTCTCTTCCTGCATCCGTTTCACCTGGTACCAGTCTGTGTCCTTCTTTAAGTGGCCTTGCCCACAGCGGCAGGAGCAGAAGCGAAAGGCCAGATCGTAGCCCTTCTTTGTCCACATGTTCTGGCGGCACTGCTTCTCGTTCCAGCTGCGTGCCCGGCCGATGCAGTTGAACTGGACTAGGATGCTGCTCTCCCACTCATAAAAACACTGCAGGTGCATCCAGGTGCTGTAGGGGCAGTGCTCATTGTTACACACCACCTTCTGGTAGTCGTCTTTCTCCAGGTCAACCGGCCGCCCGAAGCTGCAGATCAAGGGTGTGGCACAGGGGGCTTCTGAGGAGGAACAAAAAAAGAGAGAACTTCAGCACAGAGACCACTGGGATTCCAGCTCACACCAGTTCTAACAGCAAGGCTCCCATCCCACATTAGCCTATGTAAGCCAAAGCTTCAATCTTTCTGGTGTCAAGAGTTCTACTGGAGGAATTACCACCACTGATGGGACTAGAAAATATTTCCTGTTTCCTTCTGGTATGATGTGCCAAGAGTATTTACTTACTGATATTTGTTACATGCTGAAAAACATACGAATGAGCTTTAAAAAGTCTAAAACCTTCATAGTGCAATTAGCTCTGGGTCAGTACTTCCAATGGTATATTATGAGGCTTTCCTCAAACGTGGGTGTAATGCCAGCCGGTTCCAGCGTTCCTTTAAAAATGAGTCACTCCAGAGAACTAGGATATAACACGATGAAGCTACTTAACCAGTCAGTTCCAGTGGTACCTACGAAAGGAAGATACTGCCACATTTGCTAATATCTCAAAGCCCTTTACCATGGAGTACAGGCTGTCCTAAATGCCACAGAAAAACCAGAGTACACACCTGCCTCATCTCTAACTCTCTTCAACAGTTATGTGATACCTAATGGCAGGGATGTTGATAAAAGTAACTACTGGTCCACAGAGAATTACGGCACCTGGTTGTGAAGAGAAAAAGAGAATTCCCAAAGTGATCAGGACTAGAAGCAGCAACAATGAGATCATTCTACCCTGTCTTAAACACATGTCCCATAGAAGGTCCAAAGAGCCAGGCAAGTTCCTGGAAAGGAAAGCATGGGGACAAAAGCAGAACCCATTTCATAAGAAGTAAGTGTGGATCCTGTAACTTCTCAGTGATAACTGAGTATCTGAGCTCAGGACTCATCAATCAACCTGTCAAAAAGACATGTGCTTAGTCCCAGCCCCATCGAACTCCAGCGGTTTAACAGCGGGCTATTTATTTCATTTATTTAATCTTCAATTTCCTCCATGGTAAAATGGGCATGATTATAGTAGCTACTTTATAGAGATTTTCCTGAGGATTAAATAAGAAATGCATGTAGAGTTTAGCACAGCATGATAATGCTGCTGTTTTTGCTGTTGTTCCTGTCATTCGTTGAAATTTTATAATACAGCTTGGAATATCTTCCTCTGTAAAAGAAACTGTGTAATGAGGTGGTTATGAGTCCAAACCAGTGATGGGAAGAGCCACCTAGTCCAAGCATCACATGTGGGGCCGACCTGGGAGAGTGAGAGGCAGGCAGAGAAGATGCAGCAGGACCAGGGAAGGAGATCCCGTTCGAGGTCATGCCACACACCCAAACCCGGGGCATCAGCGGTGGGAGAGCGGGTTGCATGTGGGGTAAGAAGAGCACAAAGAGCTTCCCCAGCTGGTGTCTTCCTTGCTTTTCTACAGTTTTCAATAAAATGGACTCGTCCTCCTAAAGTTCATCTTTTGTTTCAGTGCAATTTTATTATCATCATCCTTATTTTCCAGTTTTTTCTCCAGCTCCTCTTTTACTGCCCATTCCCGAAAGTAAGTACCCCCCAGAGCTGGGTCCTGAGCATTCCCCTCTTTATTTCTCAAGGCAGGAGCTAAAAATTAAATCTATCATTTCTTCATGGGAGCTTTACTGGGATTTGGAAACTCCCTCGTCGGGTAGAAGGGTCCAGTGCATTTCAGGAAGTTTAGCAACACTGGACCCTGGGCAATAATATCTGTAGCTCCCCACCCTCTCTACCTACCCCACTGTGGTAACTCCAAATGCTCATACGTTTTCAAGCACCTTTTGGAGGACAGCACTATCCTCAATAGAGAACCACTAGGCTTGGTCAAGAAGGCTCTTTGTGCCTTCTTGAATTTGGACGTTCTATGTTATAGGTAAGAAGCCAAAGGAAAACCTTCAGTCAGAGTTCTGTTTCAGAAAGTTCACCCTAGTGGCAGTGTGGGGCATGACCCTGAAGACTGCTGGGAGGCCAGGTGGAGGGAACTGCAATCACACAGGTGAGAGATTATGACTGACTTTTTTTGAGTTCATGAAGCAGCGTAAAATGACTTAGGGCTGCTCAGGGTAAACGCTGACGGGCAGTGATAACAGCAGGGGCAGGGTGGAAGGAAGAGGACTCTGGGCTAGCCCTGTTCTAGATCTGCTGAGTTGGAAATATTTATCCAACACCGAGTGGGAAAGACATAACTGGAGCTCAAAAGAGCTAGAGCTACCTCTACAACAAAAAGACAAACAATCCAATTAAAAAATGGGCAAAGGATTTAAATTGACATTTCTGCACTGGAGACATATAATGAAGATATACCAATGGCTAATAAGCCAAGATGCCAAGGCTGTTAGTCATTAGGGAAGTGTGAATTAAAACCACAATGAAATATCACAGCATACCTACTAGAACGGTTATTATCAGAAAAATAGGCCCTATCAAGTACTGCTAAGGATTTGGAGAAATTGGAAAATCTCGTGCACTACTAGTGGGTATACTGAATGGTGCAGCCCTATGGAAAACAGTCTGGCAGTTCCTCAGAAAGTTAAATAGAATTACCATATGACCCAGCAAGTCCACTCCTGAGTATGTATACAAAAGACTTGAAAATGTGTACATTAGTGTTCACAGAAGTAGTATTCACAATAGCCAAAGATGGGAACGATGTAAGTGTTCATCAACAGATGACTAAATGAACAAAATGTGGTATATACATACAATGGAATGCTTCAGCCATAAAGAGAAAAAAAATTCTGACACATGCTACCACACGGATGAACCTTGAAAACGTTGTTGTTTTTGTTATGTGCCGTCGAGTCAGCCCCGATTCATAGCGACCCTTCCTTGGGTTTCCGAGGCAGTATCACTACGGAAGTAGGATTGCCCAACCTTCCTTCCGAGGAGTGGCTGGTGGGTCTGAACCGCCAGCC